CCCCCCCTTTTGGTAAGGAGTCTAAGCTCTCTTTTAGTGTCTTAGAAAATAATATATTATACTGAAATAATTCATTCTTCTTCCCTCTTAGGAAATTTCTAAGAGTTCTTCCTCTACCAAGTGAAAACTGGACTGCTTTAGTTGACGAGTGGTGTTGTCACCCTAACCCCTTTGCCAGAAGCACTTTGAACCCTCAGCATGATGACTGTTTTCTTGGAGACACTTTTTTTCTGTTGAATTCAGGAAATGAATCACATGTGTCTGAGTCTCCAATGTGCTGCTCAGAGAGTGGACACCATGCTTCTCAGAGTGGTTCCAACTTGGTAAAGTATTTTGTTTGAATAATTCATAAGTGAATGTATTTGGATGCTTTCATTGTAAAACACTTTTTTGTCAATAGTTTATTTAACTTATTGAAGGTCTCAGGGACTTACTGACATTCAGTTTTACAGAAGCCAGAAAATATTCTAAGTTATGATTTACATTTTCTAAAGTATGCACCATAGTCTTGATATTGACCTAGATATGCAAGAAGAACATCTTCCTGTAAACTTAATTGGAAAGTATTTGATTATGTAAACCCAGGTATCTCCCTCAAAAATATCCTGAGTGAAGGACATCACCATTTAGTAAGATAGTAACTGTAATGGGTTAGGTGTTTGTCAAAGGGTAGAGTAGTGAAAAATGAGGAGGAAACTGGAGTAACAATTGCTTTTTTCTTGAACTGTGTCTGGATGCATAACCATAAATATGATCAAAGGAAAGTGTGATTTTTTTGTTATTTTTTTTAGTTTTAGAAAGGCTTAGAAAAATCAGAGTGTGTTTTGGGTTCAGATGTGGCTGTCTTATACTCTTTGAATATACTAAGGAAGTTGAGTTTGTCTGACTGCTCTGTTTAGAGAAAGGGACCTGCCATCCCAGGTAATACCACTTCATGTTGATACTTCTGAGGTGTTCCAGGAGGGGATATATCAGTCAGCTGAGTCTCTAGGAAGAAAGCTATGATTTGCCTTAGAAACATCAAAATTTATTGTTGCTCAGGTAAAAAAACATTTGTAGGGATACTGGTGTTTCAATGATGGGATAAAACCCATGAAGAAAAAAATTCGACACTTTCCTCGTCTTGGAAATTTAGCACTCATATAAAAGTTCAAGCAATAATCTTTTATTCTACCAGAACAACATCCAGGAACTATGTTCACCAAAGCCTACAGTTCCATAAAGCCTTTTCTGTTAATCTACCACTTGTCTGTATTTGTGCTGACAAAGGATGGGGCTGCACATACCATCTTTTCATCCAATACCATGTAGTTAACCTGATTACTGAAATCCTTCTACAGTTATGGGAATCGTTGCTGCCTTGGCAACTTGTGCCTCTAACAGCTGATGACTTGCTATGTACCCAACATGAAACTTTTAATCTGTTGAGAAGTAACACCAAAGACCCTAATTCCCGTCTGCTGCTGCTGCTTATCATCGGTAGGGATTTGTATTATCCCCAGTTAAATCACCAGGATTCTTGCAGTTCAGCGGTTGCTGGTGCAATGCATCCAAGCAAGCCATCTGCCTGGGGAGCAGTTTTGTCCTGCGGTCCATATCTGCAAATCTTGCAGCTGTGGTCCCTTTGGTTTCTTGTTCCATTGTTCTTTGAAAAGCAGAATGTGGGGAGGGGAAAATAAGAACTGATACGCTGAAAGGATATCAGCATGGGAGAAGCAGATTACTTTGGATTAACTCAGTGGCAATTGGAATTATTTCTTCCAAGTATCCTTAAGAAGGAGGCTGAGCAGAAGATTCCGAATTTCCAAGAGGACAAGGCTTTCTGCCAGAGGTCCCCAAAATGAATTATTTCACATTTCAGTAGTCTCAAAAGAGATCTTAGGACAATGGGAACAAAGATAGGAAGAGGCAGGGTGCATGGAGTTCCTATTGCAGCTAGGAGAAAGAGGAGCAGTCCGCCAACACTTCTTCAATCAGTCAGAGAGAATGTTTGCCAGAAAATGGTTGTTTTTAAGGCAAAGACATGATAAAAGGATGTGGGACAAAGATATTACTGAAATGTGGGTCAAACCAGGATAACTGCAGAACTTTTGAATGAGGGAGGAGGCTGTTTTCTGTCAGAAGCATACAATAGTAGTTTAGTGTGATGAATTTTCATGTTTGCTTCCTTGAACTTGCATTGAAGTTGAGAATTCTTCCCTTGTTTGTGTCAAATTCCTCCTTCTACATCTTTCACACTTGCAATGAATTCTCATTTCTGTGTTTGCATATTTCCAGCATCACTTGGTTGCCAAGCAAATGAGCAAAAGTGTAAGATCCCGCAGAAACTGGACTAATGAGGAAAAAAACCCTCATACCAAAACAGAAAATTCTTCTATAATATGACTAATAGAAATTTATAGGCAAGATAGATTGATATTGACATAAATGCTTTCATTTCAGAAAAGATTGTTTCAGTCTGCCCCCATATGAAAGTTCTTTTTTAATTGCATTGCAGTTCTTTGGAAAGTGTTTGCCTATGACCAAAATAGTAACAGGAATGTATCAGGGATGCTTAAACAATCTTTTCCACCCTCTGGTGGTACCAAGACAGCATCCGTCCATTGCAAACATATTTTTCACATCTATTAGTCTTCCGGTGTAACATAGTCTTTAAATGTCACATGGTCTTGCAGCATCCTAATAGTATCTCTTAGGGAAAATATTTTCCTTAACACCATATCAGGGATCCTTAGGAATAGAAACAGAAAATATTAGGCTGGTGATCCACCTCCATCTGCAGATTGCCAGCAGCTGCAAGTTGTGAAATAGATATACTGATTTAATTAGTGTAGCCAAAACTGTTGCTTTTTCCATTAAAGCATGATACAAGTTAGTGGTGTTTTTTAGGTACTGTACTGCACGATTCTTAGCTAGCACTTGTAACTAGTCAGAAAAAAACAGTCAAGTTGTAGCTTTCAAGGAAGTGCTGTATATTGCATACTCGTACTGTGCAATATTTGTACCAACCTCAAATACTGGTTTTCACAAAACCCTGTCTACTTATCCTTACTCTTCATGTTAAGCAAGTAATTTTATTGTGCATGTTTGAGAGGAGTAGCAAGATAGGAATTGGGAAAGGGGATAACTGCATGTATATGAATCAGATGTTTCTTCTGATCTCCATAACAAGGGGGCTGTACTTCCAACATAGCTCTCTGAAGCTTTAACAGAGGCTGTTGGGCTCTCTCTGCGGCTTTTAGTTTGATTCCTGGTTTATGAGAAGCAAGCAGAACTTCGTGATCATAAGTTCATACTCCATGCAGACGCTTTCTATTTTTCATGGAGCTAGAGTGGTTCCTTCTTTTCATTTTATTGTTTGCATAGTACAGACCAGAGAAATCTGTTAGGTATTTCCAGCATCAAATCCATCAGTTCTGTCTGAGCTATAACTTTGAGAAAGATGTCCAGTATTGATTTAATACTTCAGATGATAGAAACTTTTATTACATTCCTTTGGTAAGCTGTTTCAGTGGTTAATCATCCTGACTCTTTGCTGCTGCCTTATTAAATTAAGCACACTAAGAATTGCATGGCTCTGTCTCTTTTTATCTCTAAGGTGTATTTATTTTCTAGAAATCATTTTTGTTGCAGTTTCCCAAATCATTTACCAAATTTTTAACATACTTTATAGGTACATTTTTGCCATAATTATCTTTCTAATTCTGAAAATGTTATATTTTTCTGTTTATCTGTATCAACTATTTAGTTGTTCATGCATGCAGAGATCATATTTGCCCTTTCTTTTGTAGCACCTCATTAGTAACTCTGGTTTGGTTAGCTACCATCATCTAAATTCTTTTGATTTTTGCTCTCTTCCACTATGTATTCCTTTATTTCATCATCACTGGCTTTGTTGTTCCTGAATATATCGTCTAGCATTCGGCTATATTTTAGTGCAGATTGTTAGACTAAGCACAGCCTGCTTAATGATCCAGACTGTTGTGTATAACTCCTCTGTCTTTCTTGTTTACCCCTTCCCTATCATTGCAGCAGAAAATACTTACACTTTTCCATAGAGCAACTGAAAAAATTGGCCCAGAATGTCTGCTTGACTTGTCTATAATCTGTTTCATCACTGGTCTAATCACAGACCCCATATCCTTCAAGGCACCTGAATTAGAATAAATCAATTAACAAAGCATTATTCCATTTTTGATTAGGATAATTAGGCTTGGAAATCTGCATAGTCTGAAATTCCACAATCCAGGTTCTCAAGACAGCCTGTAATGCATACCTCAAACCTTACCTTTGTAAGATGAAGAGTGTACCTGACACATCAAGGGCCATTGGATTTACTTCATGCTGGTTTGGGTTTTTTTCTTAAATAATTTTGTGATGTGTTAGGCCACAGAGCATCATTTTTTGTTCTGGACATCAGTCTGATACATCATCATCATCCATCCATTTTAACATTTGAATACTAAGGAGTATGGTAGTGGTGATGAAGGAAAACTATGCTTCCCAAAGAGTGAATCTGTGTTCACTTCACTTGGAATCCATGGGAACTGTCACCAGCTTTTACAAAGGTTTCAGAAAAAGATAAATTTGGAGGTTTTAATTTATGCTAAGTAATACTAACAGTACAAGCTTTAATAAAATTAAATTTGAGGTAAGATGCTTGAAAGCCCACAAAGCAGGTTGTGACTTTAGGAAAGCAGTAGTTGGAAAAGAGCTTCACAGATCATCGTGAATAATGGATGCCCTAATCTTAAACCTTCAGGAGGTTGTAGCAACCAGTAATTGATGTGATCAATTGGTAGGCATGTACTGCAGTATGATTTCTCAAGTTGATAGTGACTTGTTTAGACTTATAAACCAAGCCAATAAAACAGTAGTTGTTTAATTACACATGGGTATTTTTATGCATCGTATACTGTATGGACAATTATAAAGATGAAGAGTTATAAAGGTGATTATACAAAGACCACATGTAAAAATCCAATTTAGGTGTCTTCTCATTACATTCCCAGGATTTCTAGCTCCAGAAGGGTTTACTAACTCAGGAACATCATTGTGGTTTCATATATATATTGCTTCCAGGCCAGAGCTGTACTGTGCTACACCCAGGTTAATAAGCCTGCACAGAACCTTTCTGAAATATCATGCTGTGTTCTTCAGCTGTTTTCTAGTAATTCAGAATACTTTGTGGACATTTTCTGCTCTCTGCTGAACAATGAACTGGTATTCCTGTAATACTGTCCACAGTGACTAGAACTTTTTACTGAGTGATGGTAGTTAACATTGCAGCATAATATTTTATGTATATAATTTGGAATACTTCCTTTCCTGTGATTATTTTGCCTTATCAAAATCAAATTTACCTTGACATTTTATCATCCAGTCACTCAATATTTCAAGATTCTCCTGTTAGCTGTTACAGGTTATGCTGTGTAGTCAGTATCTGTTGCCGGTTTTTAAAACTAGTATGAAACTTGCAAACAAGTTGAAGTGTAGAAACCTTGAAGTGTAGAAGTAGTGGATTCAAATCTGTGTGTATGTAAACATAAAAAGAACAGAAACAAGTACAAAGTTCACTATCTACTCTGGAGAATATATTAAAATGATACATTCCTTTTTCAGAATAACTGAGTGACATTTAAATGATATTTTTTTTGTCCTACAGAAATCAGAGGAAAATACCAGAGTAATTTGTAAGTGCTGCAAGACAGTGCTGGGAGAAACAGTATCATCAGGTATGGGATGTACAAACCAAACTAGACTTCACTTCATCAGCCATTGAGAACTGGAGGTTAAAAACTCTACAGGAAAGTCAGTTTATCAGTAAGGTACAGGGCTGATTCCTGTGTGTTTGTCTCATTCCCTTCTGAAATAGATGAGGTTGTTGCTTCCACTGTTAGACCTTGAAAGTGACTTATGACAGAGGTTTTATTCATCCTTGTTTCTGTGGTGTATTTAGCTAATTCCAAAACTTCGGAAGACTCAATGCATGATTCCAGTTTACTAGGAATCCCAGCTGAAAAGGAGATCTGAGAAATTACAGGTTGGTTGTTTTGATGTCAGTCTTAGAGAATAATGGAAAAGTTAACTCAGAACTTGATCATTACAGAACGAGAAGCTAAAGATAAGGTTGCTGAAAGCCAGGCTGGTGTCATTGAAAAGAAGCCTAGTCAAAGAAACAGGTTATCTCTCATCATCATCCAACATTGAGATGATGAAATTATTGGTTTAAAAGCTGTCATTATATTGAATCAGCAGGGTTTACCTGGAGTAAAGATGAGTCTCTGGTGGTTTTTAAAATGTGGTTATTAACAGGAGAGAAGCAATAAGGCTGTTATTAGCAGGATTCATTCTTTCATTCTCTCTTTACTCCACTGCATCAGTCATTGTGAGCCTGGCTCAGTTCAGAGATCTGGAGAATATAAAAACTTATCAGAAAATGCAAAGCCTGTTTAAGAAATGTCTTGAGGAGACACAAGACAAAAAGTCTTCTGTTACAGAAGGTTCCAATTGTCCTGTACAGGGATCTGAACAGTACAAGCTTTAATAAAATTACATTTGAGGTAAGATGCTTGAAAGCCCACAAAGAAGGTTGTGACTTTAGGAAATCGGTGGTTAGAAAAGAGCTTCACACATCATCGTGAATAATGGATGCCCTAATCTTAAACCTTCAGAAGGTTGTAGCAACCAATAATTGATGTGATCAGTGGGTATGGGAAAAGGCAAATACTGTGTAGGTGTGCAGGGATTTGGTCTGAACTCTGTACATGACTGAAGTTTGTCATTTGTTCTGACCATGCTTCTTCAGTATTGTAGGAAATTTATGTGGACTTCAAAGAACAGACAAAAAAATGAACCAGAGATGTATGGTATAAATCTAGACAGAGCCATCTCTCTGAAGAGAAACTAGAGAGCAGACTTGAGTGTCATGCTTTGGTGCTTCTTCCTGAGCCTTGAGGATAAAACTTGATTAGAGTGTTGTAGCTGTGGAGGCCAGGTTTGGCTTTGAAATTCCTTTGTTGGCTATTCGTTCCCTTAATTCTATCCCCCCATTCTCATATGACTTTTTTCTTGGGAAATCCCACCTTCTGTCTTTCTGCAAGCAAACATCTCTTTAATTCCCAATGACCTTGCAGCAGTAGCACCAATTCTTTTCTTAGGGTAACAGCTACAGTGAACTGACTTCTTTTCCTGCTGTCTCCCAGGACTAGACATAGTGTGGAACTTAGAAGTAACATATAATTTTCTAACAGTGAGGATAATTTAAATAACGTAGTATTTATCTGGAAAAGGGTGGTGTGTGGGGGGGAATTATCAAGCCTTTGGAATCTTTAAAACAAATTGTCTTCCTGAAATACTTGCTTTTACTCGGTTTCAGTGGGGTGTGTGTGGACAGAGAACAGATAAGACAATCTCCTCCACCCTCAAAATTTATGAAACTGATGAATCCTTACTGTTGTTCAAATGCTAAGGCTTAGTGGGATTAATTTATTACTCTATATGCTTAACTTGTTCTGCTGGCCCTCTGTTTAGACTGTGTTTGTAGCATGGACACAGAGCTTCAATATTATTATCTTTGTCCTGACTTTATTGATCAGAATTAAATTCTGTATTCAAACCCTTCTGTTTAGTGTTAAATGTTGTCTTAGTGGAGCTTTTGAGGAACATTTACATTGAAACTCAGAATGTATGCATTAGTGTTGAGTTAGTGCAATTTTTGGAAAGAAGTTCTAGTCTGCTCTTTGAGCAAAGAAGAAAATTATTCCCCTGTGTGTGCTGTTATTAAAACTGTCTCCTATGATTCACTGCAGCATTACTGAGCAGCAGAGGGTACTAAAATACTTACGTAAGCTATGCTGATCTCAGTGCTTTCGGAAAGTTCTTTCAATTCATCTTTCAGGTTTGGCTTGAGCTCGTTTGCTTCTTTTCTAGTTGATTGTTCCCAGAGTTAAACAGGGATCAATATGAATGAGAAATTGCTGATCATGTAATTAGCTTAGAGCAGTTTTCTTCTGGCAATGTATGTTTTCTGTAATTGGTTGCTTCTCCTCCCACAAACCAAAGCAGAATTTGACCATCTGCTGCACCTCCTAATTGAATGCTGAACAAAAGTTTAATTAGTATAGTGATACGGTGGCTTACAATCTACTCTTAACAAGTTAGTTGTTCTGTTGTACTTGAAAAATGTTTTTGTCATTTTAGATACCATTAAGTATTATGTCACCGAGGTGATTATTCAACCATCTGAGGAGAGTTTCAGCCCAACCCCAAGGTAACAAGTAAAAATAAAAAGAATCAGGTGATTTGCTCAGGTTTATGTTTTAGAAAGAATGCTAGAAATTCACTACCATTTTAGTTTCTTGAATAATTACATATAATAGTGCTGTCAAATTTTATGTAATCATCACAGAATTGTTATAACAGTAATGTAGTCTGAATCCACTCGTACAGTTTTGTTTACTTGTCTTTTGTGTGTGTTTGTGTGTAATGCATGAGAGAGATTGTGTATAATGTCACAGTGTCTCACTATCCAGGTAATAAACCAAAATACAATACTTATTTATTTTGAACTATTTAAGTTTGCATGATGTCTGGTGACTAATTGTGGAAATTGAAAGTTACATTATGTAAAGTTAAATTAAATAAAGCTTGAAATGTTTAATTCGAAGTGAGATTTTTTAATTTTCAAGTAATTCAGCTTGAATTACAGACTAAGATGAAACAGAACTTAATCTAGCTGTCTTGTATCATGTACTATGCATTAGTCACAATTCTTTCCTTTTGTGAATTATCTTTGGAATATCTTTCTTAATTTTGTGTTCATATATGTAAAATATAATAGGGAAAGGCTGTTATTCAGCATTTGGTGTTGGTCAAAATAAAGGATGTGGAGAAATTTAGACTTCTGATCGATTAAAAAAATCCTGTTGCAGGAAATGTAAAGTCCTCTGGTATTGAGGAAGAGAAAGATAAAGAAGCCCCATCTCAATAAAAAGTGATTGTAGGATGTAATGAAACTGATAGTATGGATCTGTACTGCATTGATATGAATGACTTTGCCCATGTAGTCCTTATGAAAACATGTAATATCTGGTTCATTCTTAAACAGGTCTCAATTCATACAGGGCATGGTTGCTCAGTGTCTTGTGGAATTGTCCTCTGCCAAAAGCACGTTTAGATTCACCGTGAAAGGGGACAATGGAAAAATCTATATTCTGGTAAGGTGGGTTTTTTTATCTTTATCCTGCTGTAAAAGTTCAAACCTATGAATCTCAGCTCCCAAGATGTATGATTTATGTTGCTCATGTTTGTATGTTTAAAGAAAATTAACAAATTCACATTCTTCAAATAGTCCTGAAGAGTTCTGTTCAAGTAAGAAATTTCCCCTCATTTTTAATCCAAGTAGATGTATATATGTAAATTTTCTTTATTGATACAGTAACAAAAGCACTACAGATGCACCACAAGTAGCACAAAAATAACACTGTTTTATGTATTCAGAAAATATAGAAAGCTTAAGTTTTGACTTTATAATATAAATCTCATCTTCTTGCTCCAGTGCTTCTTACCTTTAATCACCAGAAATTCATTAAATTGAGTAGAATCTTTCACAAATATTGTTTTAAGTCAGCAGAGACTACTTGCAAACAAAAATAAAATTGCCAGTTATACTTAATGTTCTAATGCTGTTAAACTTGGTTAAGCTTGATACTTAAATAGTGACAGCTAAATTCCTCATATTTTAAGATGGATAGGAATTTTCATCTGGAATTATCTTGATACCATACACTTGGTAAAACCTGGGATGTTTAATTTTATTCATGAACTAAATAAGGGCACAGAATTAATAATTTTGCAATTTGTACGAGTAATTCATAGACACAAAGATAAAGAAATACACGATTGTAGATTCCTACACTGGATAAACTTATAGATGCACTTTGTTGAGGTAGGCAATCTAATGAAATAAACTGGTTTATATATACATTGTCCAAGTTCTGTAATTTCTGAACATCCAGGATCTGAGGTAAGTGTGTATATGTTGCTTTTAAATAAATTTTAGTGCCAAAATAACATTTATGCAACCACTGAGAAGTACTTTTTCTGCTGTGATAAAGTAAGTTCTCAACAGCAGACCCTTAATTGTTACTATATATAATCTAATTGAGGAGTCATTAAAAATGGTTGTGATTTTTTTTCCTTGTAGATATGTGTTTCCAAGTTCCTTAATATTCTGTTGCTTGTCTAGTAGATTATATAAAACAAACTGGTTATCTTCTAAAGGAAAAATCACCATATTTACCAGATTGAGCTCTGAGTTGCATTTTTGCCAACCTGTTGAGTAGAGGAGCAGGCTGAATTAGCATAGGGACTGGCTTCTGGTTGTCATCCTTTCCTTTTTATTAGTGAGTTATTAGTATTTTTTTGTGTGTTTAACATCAGAAAGCACTTACTCATGTCCAGAGTGAGGTTCTAGGTACTCTGTACAGACCAGCAGGTGTTCTGGAGTCATTGGTTAAGTTTTAGGACTCAGAGGACTCGTGGACACAAGCATAATGTAAGCACTGTTTATATTAATGATTGCAAACAGCTAAACAGTAAAAAATGTAAGTGCTTGAGGCTGGTAGTACACAGCTAGGTTAGACAAGTGGTCTCATCACTGATGCATCATGGACCAGCTGTCCCGCTTGTTTGTTTTGACAATGAGCCAAAGACATTCATAGTGTTTGTGCTTATATATGTGAATGCACACAGCTTAGGCTGTGTATGTGATAATTAAAGTTCAGATCTCTCACAGGTCTTTTTAAATTATTTTTTTAAACCACAAATACAATGTATACTCACTTTCCTTATTTCCTCTGCATGTATCAGCATTACCAGTTATGGTATTTGCAGATAACATAATATGAATTTCTGTTGTCTGAGTTGGTGATAACCAAGTTCCTGCAAGCTATATATTACTTATGTCTGGGTTTTTTTTATAGGATGACAATAATTAAAAGTCTCTTTGTCTCAGGAAAAAGAAAAGTGGCGTATACAGATTTCCTTATTTATGCTAACTATATCTCTGCCCTCTTCACATTCTCTAGAAGATGAATCACTTGCCTCCTCTCTTTGTTCCTCTTATGAAGGGTTACTTACCTTGAAGTTGAACGGCTTACAAGCTAAGAATAAGATGGAGACAGCAAATGGGTAGTGAGATAGGAGAACACAAGCAAAATGTTGCATTATGAGGCAGCATAGCAGCATCTTAATAGATGTCTCTTTTTTTTGTACTGTAAAAAGGATAGATTTGAAAGAGATAAATAAGTAGTTTTGTGGATAGATAGGGAATTCACGCCATGGGTGGGATCAACCTGATAAAACCCCAGAAGATACATCTGTGAAAATCAAAAGGTGTTTGATAGAGTTTGGAGTGTTTTAATACCAACTCCAGTCTTTCAGTACTGAATGAAAGATGGTTTTTGGAGTGGCATTAGCCTGCAAAGTGCTTTGGAAGTAAGGCAGCTTGTATTTCAGGAGCAAGTAAAGAGGGAGTGAGAAGATATACCAAGAAAATAAATATGTAACAAGATGAGAGAGACCTGTCAATCGGAAACTGATTCTTGGACCATGGCTTGGAGAGCATGAGCAGAACAAATTTGCATTTGTCAAAGGTTGGAGATGGGGACATTGCAGTGGTCAAGATGTGAGATGAGTACCTTGCTGAGACTTAGCCACCGAGCTCTATAAGAGAGCTTTATTCTTTGTGAAGTATGAGGAAATCACATCTTTACCTGAACAGTCTGAATGTGAGGACAAAGAAGCTGTAAAGGAAGATGTTTGCATTACTGACCTATGTGATGATGAAAGTAATGGTAATGTCTGCAATAACTAAGAAAGAACAAGCAAGGAAGAACAGCAGCTTTTTTTTTTAGCCATGTTAAATTCAAATTGATGCCTAATTGTCTGCAAATTGATGCTGGAGACTCAGGTTGAAATTTTAGGAAATCTGATCACAGAATGTAAATTACGGTATTTCACCTGTTTGAACTAAGTGTCATAAAGTGTAACTGAGATTTGTTGCAGCTTTTCTCCTAGGAACATCTTGGAAGCCTATTGACAAGGTGATTTAAAAAACAAAACAAAACAAAACCAATGAAAAAAATACCAACAAAAAACCAAACACTTGCTTCTGATGCAGTCATTTCAGAAGAAGTCATCAATCTGCACTAAGAATGAATTCTAAACTTTATATATTCTTCTTTCTGTAAAGGTTCTTTGCTTACTGAAGTTAATATGAAAGAAATTGGGTTGTGCAAGGCTCTGCTGTACAAAGTGGTAGAGAGGAAGGAAAAATTGTACATTGTGAGTAACATAGATGAAAGCACAGATCAAAATGGAAAACTATGTTAGCCAGAAATATAATGTATAAACTGCTTTGAGTCAACACATGGAGTCTTGGTGAGTGATTGCTCATTCAGACCAAAAGCAAGATCAAGAAATAATTCATGCATGAAGAAAAGAAGGAAATTATTGCCTGAAGAAGCAAATGTAATTCAGAAGTTGATTTTCTCATGGCCAAGTGTCCTTCTGTTCGCAAAGATTCATTTGCTTTCTCTGTATTGTGTTATAAATTATTGTTACAGATCTGTTACATTGCTGTTGAGACAAAGACATACTCTAAACAAGGGGTAGAACATTATTGTCAGATGCCACATATCGACACTTGTGGTAGAAGGCAGTACTTTTCAGATGGACCGTGTTGCAAATGAAATGGTTTGATTGCTTTCTCTAAAGCAGTTGCAAAAGGATTCTGAAAGGAGTAGACAGCTGTTGCTGCATTGTTCCCTTGACTAGTTTGAAGGATATTCCCCTTCTAAAAAGCATCCCAGGAGGCTCCTACACAGGGAAATGTTAATAATTTCAAAAGGAAGGAACTCTTTAATTAAAGCAAAGCTGGCAGTGGTCTATGTGTATAAGTCACTTCTGTTTTTTTTCCCCTTTTCTCCACACCTCTTAACACTTGGCTTAAAGCACTATGTGTAGTGGTCCCAGCTAACGAAGTGTATTTTGCAGTTTAGGCTATGAATGTGTACAGTGAGTTACCAGAGCAAAACTGATGAACAGCCACTTGCTAAGCCAAGTGCAGTTGCCTGTCATCATTTATGTGCATATGCTAAAGTGATTCTCCTCCTCCCATCCCCTCCCAAGACATCTTTATCAATATATCTCATTCCTCCTTTATGAAGCTTCCACTGTAATGTTCTGAGCCTTGGGCTCTGTTAAATTGTGACTGTCACATTCAATTACGACATATACTATGTGTCCTGTTAACAGTGGCTTTCTCCCTCCACAGGGGATATTATATGTCTGCTACCTAACATCATGTAACTTGTTTTACGTGAAGCTCATTCAGTCATGAGATGCAGAAGATTACTCTCTAGTGAGCACCACTGCATATATCCTGTTTTCTAGGATAAATATTTAATATATAAGCATTTCATACAAGCTCAGGACTTGTAAAAAATTATTTCCATTGGTAACTCAGATCACTGCTGCAGGCTGTGAATAAAGGAAAAGCCTTTTTTGTACAATGCTTAGCATGAAAGCCCTGTATTCAAGTTGGAACACTGATGCACAATCACACAGAGATTAAATAAGATCCATAATGTGATGCAAACTTTTCAGATTTCTCAAAACTCTCCCTGGTAAATATCCTATGAACTGCTGTGAGCAAGTAGTGCTGTAGAATTCCAGTCGCATTACCAAATTTGATCAAGATCCTTTTTCCAAGTAAGGATCTGTTACAGCCATTTGAAAATCCCAGCCTGCCTTTTAGATCACATTAATTGTTGTCGTTTTCCTTGCATGTTTTAACTCCATCCAGTCATAACTATCACGTTTGGTTTTTTTTAAATCCTTAATTTTTGGCAATTCCAGTGGGTCGTCTTTCAGTTCCCTGTCTTTGGCACTCAGTTCAACACCATATGCTTGACTATTTCCTAAAAAACTATCAAATTAGAGTAATGCATTTGGTACTTAAACAGACGACTTGGGACTATTTCTTTTGTTACTATCAAAGGAAATGTGCTACAGCCACAAAAATATGCAGCTTCACAGAAATGATGATTTTAAGAATGACTGATAAATCAGACATCAGTTTATTTTATTAACCTGTTTTTCTCCACTAGAAGCTGTGCAGACTGTGCTGAATAATAAAATGTCAATTTATGTCTGTTAACATTTTGTTAGAAGCTTTGTAAGAATGTGACTTTACTATCATCTGATATAGGATCTGAGTAAAGGGAGAAATTGAAATTCCTGTAATCTAGAGTAACATACATTATTTCTTCATTTTATAGATATGGCTTTTAAATTCTGACACATTGCTGGTGGAGTCTTTAGGAAATTCCTCCTCCCACAGTGTTTTTACATTGTTTGGAGATGTTTTCATGCCTAGCTCTGGACCAGTGGGGACCTGGAATGCTGTCAAAGTCCTTTACCAGCCATGCATTAAAAGCAAGAATAAGGAGTAAGTACAGTCTTTTCTCACCTCACGTTCTGATCTTTGATTTGTTTTGCATTTCAGGACAGCAATATTTCTTTGAGGTTCTTTGGACAGTCCATTCATTTCAGAGATGTATCTCTTTGAAATGACATACATTTTTTTTAAAATTTGAGGGGTTTTTTAAGCAAAATGCCAGAGAAGTAGTATTTAGTTTCTGTTACAGCCAGAGAGAATCTAGTTGTTAAATTTTTGCGCTGTAATAATAAAATGTAGACCAAAAATTTATGTTGTTTCTAGGGGCACATGTAGATAACTTAGGTAAATGATTTAAATAGAAGTTGTCTCTGTTATACAGGAGAGTAATGTGCTTTTTTATTTATGCAATTTTTCCCTGTGTTAGCTCACTGCACTTCTAGAGCTTTGTCATTTTTCTGGCTCTGTTGGCAGAAGCTGGAAAGATGGTGGTGCCATGAGTCTCATGGAGGGTCAGTGGGTTCTGTCCATATGGTCTCAGAAACATGCTGATCTGCAGTTGTAGCTCCAGGTGATGTAATTCAGGGAGGAGGAAAAATTGAGGGGAGATAAGGAGCATGGGCTGACTCTTGGATGATGTGTAAAATTAGCCAGATCTCCCTCTTTGCCTTCAATCTCTGTGTTTTCTGTGAAAATCTGATCTCATCTGTCAGGTTACTTACACAAGTGACCCTCTCTGCACTCCTCTGGTAAAGAATTTGGACCTCTTTGGTGCAAGCCAGGAGGGTAGAGGTGGGTAGTTACTAGTTTAGCAAATGATAACTGCCTGTTCCAGCTTCAGTCTTGATGTTTTTACCTTAAAAATATGCTTTATTTTGCAAGCAAAAGATCTGTTCACAGGACTGGAATTTGTTTAAGTCAAGTTATTGTCAGTATTCCAGGAGGTGTCTGATGGGTTGCAATAAATTAGTGTAATGACCATCTCTGTATACACGGCAGTGCATCCAACAGTGTCGCTGTTAAGAGATAACTATGCATGTAGCCTAGCAGAATAATATGAATAATACTCTATCAGTATAGCATACTCTCAGCATATAGCATATCCTCAAAAAGAAATCCTTTCTTGCGGTGGGCGGAGGAAGCAATCAGCTGATTCAATGTGAATGATAGAGCAAGCTTCAACTTTATTGATAGAAATCACACCTTATATAAGCAGTCTACAATACACTACTCGTAACTCTATTGGATACATTTAAGAAACTATATTATAATATCTCAGCTATTGGGTACATCTAAAAAGTCACATTATAATACACCAGCCCCTTGTGGCATTTCTGGTATGCATAAACATCTTTCTTGCTGTAAACCTGCTTCTCTCCCAGGGTTGCTTTCCTCTGACCCCCAAGGTCATAATGCGCCCCAACTTATCTCTGTGTTCTCACAACAATCCTCATTAGCACAACTGAGCCCTGGATCTTCATCCTTGTTTACATAACTGTACCCTGGGTTCTTTCCTTTGTTTACCTCAGGTGGCTGGGACCAACTTCTGCAGGGAGCTATGGCCGACCAGCTCCTGCAGGGAGCTATGGCCTTGCTCTCTGCAAGCTGTTCTCCAACACTTTCTTGATACAATTCATAAGTTCATTGAGTTATCAAATTAACCTCTCCATGTGTAACTTTGAACTTGCTTTTGGCCCAGTGGTGGCATTATTTCAAAAAGAAACGGAGCCCTGAGAGAAGGGGAAAGAGAAGAGTCAAGGAAGGTGATTGAGTACAATGCCACATAAATTTTTTTCTTGGATGTGTCCAAGTCTACTGGGGCCCTCATAAAGGAAACGTGATTTCAGCAAGCTTTGAAGTCTACATTATGAAAAACATATGCTGCCTAACATGCTAAAGTCTTTATCTGTTGGAGAGCACAAATAAGAGAATATTGATTAAGCAGTGTCTCCAGTGTTTGCAGATGATGGAATATGATTTTAGCATAATTTTCTGCTTTTGATTCTGTAGGGATAGAAGCACTTAAATAGTGATTTGGTTTTGTTGTTTTTCCTTTAAATTCTTGGAAACCAGATGTCAGAATTAAAGAGGTATGGATGTATTTAAAATTTAGAAGATAATCCCTCCAGATTCAGTCAGTACACAACTAATTTATATCCTAAGACCTCATAAAAATGCCACAAAAATGTTGTCTCAGACAAACAAACATGTGCTATGAACTTACATATTTTAATAGGAGAAATATATACCTTATAAGAATGTGTGATTCATCACAGTGTTTATCCTGAAAGTTGCCAAGAGAATCCTTTTTATTTTTCAAGCATCTAATATTGAATAGCTGAAATAAACTGTGACATAGGCAGAGAATGCAAAATTCTAATGTTTAGAGAAAAGGTCATACTAGATTATTAATGTTATTCATGTAAGAGAAAAAAAATACCTTTATTAATGTAGTATCTTCAGAAGTTGTAATTGGAAAACCTCTGTGATCTAAATGTTATTTAGCAATCCAAAATACATCTTGAAGTATTATCATTTAAACTACTTACTCTTAGCATGGGAGATACTGCAAGAAAAACTACCTTCTCTAAAATGAAAGATACTTCACTTACCATGCTTGTCTTACAGAAGTGTAACTTACAGTTTTGCTTTTCAAGTTTCAATTCTTTATCACTGAGAAGATTTAATTACCTTAGCACACATTCAGTTACTTTGACATGTTATTGAGATAAAAGTCATATCTACTTAGAAAAACATTCACAAATGCTCTTCTTGAATGGAGTTCTCAGCCACAAAATTTTTCTGTGAGATTATATTCAGTTCTTTCCATTTTCCCACACAAACTTGTTACAAATCACTTGTTTCTGAAGATTACTTTGTATTTATCTTTGGGATTTTGCAGTGAGCAGAAAGAGCTGAGGTTTTAATTCTCCTCTGACAGTAATTGCCATCTTCCCTATCCAGTCCCTGGACAAATGCAAAAATGGAAGAGAAAGAACAGAGGGTTCTTTTTAAGGTTCAGAAACCAAAGTAACTATTGGTTTAGTATTGTTTTTCATTTATATGTTTCCAGTAAAGATCACTAAGAAGGACATTAGCACTTCAGTCTGTTTCCACTAACTCATCAGTTGTCTTGAAGTACTGCCAGGATCTGTGCAATAAGACTGAAGTCTTTCAGTATTGAAGAGGAATGTAAGCACAGCAGAAGCAAAAATATCAAAACCAGTACAACTTATTTAATGTAATGTGTTTGCATTTAATCTCAAATATGATTTCAAGAATTCTGAACAAAATGTCTGATTTCTTGAGTAGTGCAAGTTCCACATTCTGATAATACTTATAATACCTTGTTTCACCTGCCTTTGTAATAATGCAAAGGTTTCAGAGCCCATGGTCTGCTCCCTGTGAGTGGGGAGTAAGCAAGGATACCTCCTGTGTAGGAAGCACACAGCATGTCTGCTTGTGATCTAGACCCCAACAGCTGCAAGGGATAAGCACGCACCCTACTATCCTGTTGCATGTCAGAGAGACTCTTCAGTTGTTGTGAGTCACATCAGTTGTTGTGAAGCACTTTTCTTACCTGTGGACACTGCAGAATCTGCTGGGTAGCTGTAAGCTAATAAATAAAAGATGCTTTAGAAATTTAGAAATAAAAGTGTTTATGTGTAATATGTAAATATAATAGCATAATCACACATTGTAAACATAAGAAATGGAAGAAAAACTACATTTGGTATACTTACACAAGCACAAATCTACTGACTAGTTAAATACACAGTTCCATGGTAGAAGTCAAGGTCTCGGGCTTTGTGAAATTCTCCCCTGGAAAGCTGCCTCTGCTAGAGAGAGCCTAACTTTGGTTGCCTAAAAATTCACATTCAGGCAGCCCCTTTTTGAAGTAACCCCTAGGTTCAGATTCCTTGGGACATGCTTGAATATTTCTCTCGGAGTGGAGTAGCTTTTATAATCAATCTTTCTTTTCAAGACCTGTAGGGTGTCAGCAGAAATTTACGGTCTCACTCCAAAGCTCATTCTATTCCTTCTTTATTCAGAGCACAGTTTTGCAATTATTCATAATTAACATAATACTTATTTCTCTTACTCAGGTATGGAAGTGTATTTTTCCCCTTAAACTAGGAATTATGTCTTGTAAACACTGTGGTTCAGTGAGTAACAGAACTCTCTTTCCTCCAGTAAATCACTGTCATATATTTCAGTGTACCTTACATTCAGTATTACTGTAAATGTTAACAATGCAGAGGAAACAAACATTTGAGTAGGATAACTGTTGGTCGTTCACAGAATCATCTAGGTTGCAAAAGGTCTTGAAGATCATCTAGTCCAAACATTGACCTAACACTGACAATTCCCAACTACACCATATCCCTCACCGCTATGTCAGCCCGACTCTTGAACACCTCCAGGGATGGGGACTCCACCAGCTCCCTGGCCAGCCCATTCCAACACCTAACAACCCCTTCTGGAAAGAAATGCTTCCCATTGTCTAGTATAAACCTTCGCTGGTGCAACTTGAGGCCATTCCCTCTTGTCCTATTGCTCATTACTTGGTTAGAGACTCATCCCCAGCTCTCTGCAACCTCCTTTCAGGGAGCTGTAGAGGGCGATGAGGTCTCCCCTCAGCCTCCTCTTCAAACTAAACACCCCCAGTTCCCTCAGCCGCTCCCCGTACGACCTGTGCTCCAGACCCTGCACCAGCTTCATTGCCCTTCTCTGGACACGCTCGAGTCATTCAATGTCCTTTTTGTAGTGAGGGGCCCAAAACTGAACACAGGAATCGAGGGGCGGCCTCACCAGTGCCAAGGACAGGGGTCAGATCCCTTCCCTGTCCCTGCTGGCCACGCTATTGCTGACACAAGCCAGGATGCCATTGGCCTTCTTGGCCCCCTGGGCACACTGCTGGCTCCTGTTCAGCTGGTTGTCAATCAACCCCCGCAGGTCCCTCTCTGACTGGCAGCTCTCCAGCCACTCCTCCCCAAGCCTGTAGCACTGCTGGGGGTTGTTGTGGCCCAAGGGCAGCCCCTGGCATTTGG